TGCTATCGCCACGGAAGAAGAGTGGCACAATGCAATCTTCCAGAACGTGAACGTCTCTGACGAACAAGCAGCTCTGCTGCAAACGGTTACTGCGAATGCCGCAGAATCAACCACTGGACGAGTCAGAGACTGGATTGGTCGCCTGACCTTAGAAATAAGCAGGCACTACGATGGATACCTTCAGGGCCTCCTTCGAGAGGTGGAATCCCTGCATATCACGGTCCAGAATCAGCAGGCGCTAGTCGATTCCTACAAGCGACAAGTTGATGCGCTACCTGCGTCAACAGGTAGTGGTCATTCCCGTCAACCTAAGATTGGGGAGCCTCCGGCCTTCAAGGGCAGTGAGGATAAGACCAAGCTTGAGGAATGGCTGGACCTGATCGTACTGTGGTGCGAGCATGAGGGAGTGGCCACGGACAAACAGCGAATCGTCACGGCCCTCTCAAAGTTGCAAGGACCAGCTCATCAGTACATGAAGAGCTACTACGTGAAAATGCGGGAAGGAAAGGATCTGGGCACCTGAAAGGCATTTGTGGCGGAACTGGCCCAGATATACGGGCAATGCGACGACAAGGAGGGTGCAAAGAAGGAGATCACGGTGATAGGCGCCGAGCCCCGCTGGGCCCCGATACACCTCTTTTCGGCACTCGCATCCCGCCCGGCACTTCGACCCAGTCTCCCAACAGGTCGATTTCGCCTTCGACGCTCTTCGACACCTTCGACGGTGCGCGACGCTTACTCGAAGCTCGGCACGGTCTTCCCGAGGCCTCGTGCGTAGATCTCGGAACATCTTCCGCATTCGGCGAACAATAGGGCCACTTGACGCCGCTCGGCCAAGCGCGCGCTTCGCTCCAAGCCACACCGAAGTAGCCGGTCTTTCCCGATTAAGTATCGAACCTCGCGGCATGCCTTCACGACGGCTACCGGTCCAAAGTGGCCATATGTTACTCTTCATCTCCGCGTTCGGCATGACGTCACTCTACCGATGGACTTGGTATGTGCCTCTCGGTGAGGCAGGTTCTTGAGGAACAATGCAAAGCCCCTTGTACTCGTATACCACTCTCGAATAGTCGTAGCGTCCTGTGTAGTATAAAATCTGTCGTAGTTCTCCCCAAAAATACAAGATCCGGTCCCCCCCCCTCAAGTTCAGAGCTCATAAGTCGAGTTCGCCCTGCGTCTAAGCCTCTAACTGCGTCACTTCGTCCCTCACTGCGTAACCTCGAAACCTCGTCCACTGCGTTTACTCGTCGATACCGTCTCGACGAACCCTTCGACTTCGACTATTGTCGAAGAAACTGCGAACTGCGCCCTAGCTAAGTACACCCTATCGAATCATGTCCCTTCCCTCTACGATACATCGAAGAGCTCTGCCGAGCTTCGATCGTCGCTAACTTTCCACAGCTTCCGAGTAGCTTCGACGACGTGTCGAAGCCACCTCGTACCTTCCCTGGCATTCGTAGCCTTTTCCGAAGGCGTTTCTCGTGTTCACTCGAACCGCGGGACACCTTGCTGCTAACTCCCCTCTCATTAGACTATAAGCCGTCTCTCTAGTCCCTTTAGGTTGCACCCAGGTTAGGGGTTAGGGTTTCGTAGGTCGTATCAACGGTGCTGTTCATCAATAAGGATCTGGCCTCGAAGGACTTCGTGAAGTACGCTGAGAGGTTCCGCACCCTCGGACGTCTCACGGAGTATGACAATAGTCTCCTCATCGACAAACTCCGGGAGGTTATACCTCGTGACATGCGGTTGGTGTTGGCCGGAAAGGACGAGTCCACCTTGCCAAAGGATTGGACGTTGTTCCTCGACATCTTGCTCAACATCAACAAGATTGTCAACCCGGAGAAGGCACGAGGCTTGGTATTCAAGAACAGTGGCTCGGATAATGGCAGCGCTGTTCCCATGGACATCGATTCGGCTGAAAAGTCGAAATCGAAGGGTAAAGGCAAAGGCAAGGCAAAGGACGCTGAGGCCGCCTCGACAGAGGCAAAGAAGTATTGCGTCATCTGCAAGTCAAAGACTCATAACACAGATGATTGCTACAAGTTGGCTAAAAATGCGGACAAGCGGCCGAAGACCCAAGGGGATGGCGCTAGGAAGGCGCAAGGAGGAAGCGGTAACCCCGCGGCCAAGAAGGCTAAGAAAACGCGGGTTATTCAAGTCGAGCTTACGGATAGCGAGGACGACACGCCCCTGTCCACGAAAGCCGTGAGCGCCAACACTGCGAGAATTGAGGAGATTGCGAACGTCGAGGAATCGACTCTGGCTGGGAAGGATGAACCCCAGCTGTCTGCAAAGACAGAACCCACCACAGCTACCTCGGATTTTTGGAAGAAGTACATGTGACTACCTGCGAACATGTACTTAAGGAATCGGAACCCACCGTCAGAATCAATGTAGATAGTGTACACAGCAGTCTTGTAAATATCTCTCGCAACAAGAATTCATTCACTCTGCCTGTGACACTGTGGGTATACGGAAAGAAAGTGCAGGTCGAAGCTTTGGTAGACTCAGGGGCCACAACATTGTTCATCAATCGGTCAGTTGTTGAAAGTAACAGCCTGGTGACGCATAAGCTGGCAACCCCGTACAACGTTTATAATGCAGACGGGACCTCCAATAAAAGCGGTCAAATAAATAAGTCCGTTAGAGCCTACGTCGAAATAGGATCACATAAGTCGACACACCCACTGCTAGTCGCAGATTTGGGAAGAAAGGACATGATCCTCGGCATGACCTATCTCAGGAAACACAATCCCGAGATCGACTGGGCCAAAGGGGAGTGGAGGTACACCAGGTGCCCTGAGAGCTGTGCCCCCAAAGCTTGTAAAACTAATCGTGTGACTGATGAAGAAACCGACGAGCTTCAGTTACCAAGGGAGGAACCCTTAGTCACTCCGCTGGACGCCTTAGGAGAGGAGTGTACTGAAAATCCATACATCAACTGGATCTTGACAGACGATCCGGAGGACCTACAAATGGCAGAATTTGTCGCAAGCATTCTGAACAAGGATGTTGAGGAGGAGGATGCGGACACCACTAAGTGGAAGTCTCTCATCCCTGAATATCTACACGAGTTCGGGGACGTATTCTCACAAAAGAAATCGGAGTGGATGCCGGAGCGCAAACCATACGACCATGGTATTGACTTCAAGGAAGGAGCTGCCCTACCTCGACCGGCCAAACTATACCCAATGTCTCCAAAAGAGAGGAATTCTCTCGACAAGTGGATCGACGATGAACTCCGAAAGGGGTATATTCGAAAGTCCAAAAGCCCACTGGCCTCTCCTGTTTTCTTTGTCAAGAAATATGATGGAGGGCTGCGTTTAGTTGTGGATTACCGGAAGATCAATGACGTAACTGTGAAGAACCGTTACCCAATACCCCGCATAGCAGACTTGATTGATACACTCAGTCAAGCATCGATATTCACTAAGATCGATCTGCGATGGGGATACAATAATGTTCGCATCCGGAAGGGTGACGAATGGAAGACGGCTTTCATCACACATCGAGGGCTATATGAAGCCACAGTCATGTACTTCGGATTCTGCAACGCACCAGGAACTTTCCAAGCGATGATGAATGATGTACTCAGTGATTTCATACGAGGAGGAAAAGTCATAGTCTACCTTGATGACATTCTCATCTGTTCGAATGATCTCAAGGAACATCGTAAACTTACAAAGGAAGTCCTGAAGCGGCTGAGGGAGAACGATCTATTTGCCAAACCGGAAAAATGCTCCTTTGAAAAAAGCAGCATTGAGTACCTCGGCATGATTATCTCCAAAGGACATATCGAGATGGACCCAAAGAAACTTTCAGGAGTAGCCGAGTGGCCACGGCCTACTAAGGTCAAACAAGTCCAAGCTTTCTTAGGCTTTGCGAACTTCTATCGAAGATTCATCAAGGACTTTGCCAAGTACACTAAACTGCTCACTACGTTGACCAAGAAGGATCAACCATGGGTGTGGGATGTGGCGCAGGAAGAGGCATTCAATGGTTTGAAAGAGACCTTTACCTCAGCACCCATCCTTCGAATCCTGGATGCAACGTCCCCATTTAGACTTGAGACTAATGCCAGCGACTTTGCAACCGGCGCAGTTCTCTCTCAATTGGACCCAACTGACAAGTTGTGGCACCCAGTTGCCTTTTACTCGAAGTCACTCGATGTTCATCAGCGGAACTACAAGATATATGACAAAGAGATGCTTGCTATCATTCGAGCACTCGAGGAGTATAGGCATTATTTGGAGGGACATCCGGACAAATTCGAGATCTGGTCGGATCATCTTAATCTGACCTACTTCAAGACCGCCCAGAAGTTGACCAGGAGACAAGCGAGATGGGCTCTGTACCTCACGCGATTCAATTTTATTTTGCGCCATAAGCCAGGAAAAACAATGCTTACCGCCGACCCTCTGTCCAGGAGGCCAGACCATGAGGAGGGGGTGAACCTCGATAATCGGGATCAAACTTTGTTGAAACCAGAGTTTTTTGCAATCAATGCAGTCGAGGCCTCCCATGAGTCACCCGTTAATGACGATCAACTCCTGAGGGAAGTGAAGGAAGCACTCCTACATGACGATGTGACCAAGAACTATCAGCAATTGCTGAAGTCAGGTCCTAGAGAATTTGGCAAGTCCCTTGTGGACTGGAACTATGAGAATGGATTGTTGCTTTATCGCGGCAAAGTATATATCCCCAACAGCGAGCAGGACCACTTGCGCAGGCGTATAGTTCAAATGCATCATGATCTCCCTTCAGCCGGACATCCCGGAAGGTGGAAAACATATGAACTCATCTCACGCAACTATTGGTGGCCTAGCATGTCGGTATTTGTCAAGAAGTATGTGACTGGCTGCGACATTTGTCAACGGATGAAGAACTGTCCGCAGCAGCCATATGGACCATTACAACCCAACCGTGTCCCGGAAGGGCCATGGGAAGTTATGACTGTCGACCTCATCACTCAGCTCCCAGAATCAGATGGTTATGATGCCATTTGTGTAGTCGTGGATCAATTGACAAAGTGGGCTCACTTCTATCCAATAACAAACGAGTTCTCGGCAAAGGATCTAGCAGAATTGCTATACAATTGGGTGTATCCGCTTCACGGCTTACCATCCCAGATTATATCCAACCGAGGTGTTCAGTTTGCAGCTACACTGTTCCAGGAATGGTGTAAGCTACTAGGGATAGAGTCCACCATGTCCACCACGTACCACCCACAGACTGATGGTCAGACTGAAAGAGTCAACCAAGTTCTGGAGCAATATCTTCGCTGCTACATCGACTATCAACTCGATGACTGGTCAAGGCTACTTAGCTCTGCTGAGTTTGCTTACAACAATGCAGCGCATGAGGGCACCAAGGAGACACCATTCTTCTTGGAATACAGCAAACATCCACGGGCAGGTCCAACACTTACTAAGAAGGTGCAAAGAAGCGACCTCAATGACATTGTTTGGAACCGACAACAAGCGCAGGAGCAGGCGAAAGCCGCTCTCAAACTGGCAGCCGAGCGTATGAAGTGGTATCATGACCAAGGAGTCCAGAAAGTCCCCTTCAAGGTGGGCGACAAGGTCTTACTCGACCTCAGAGACTACCAAACTACTGGTCGAAAACTCAATGCACGGTATTCGGGGCCTTTTGAGATTGTTGAAAAACTCTCTCCAGTCACTTTCAGACTGAAATGGCCACCGAGGTTGACCAAATTACATCCAGTCTTCCACGCCAGTAAGCTAATACCCTACCATGAGGCGGAAATCCTGGGCCAGAAAGGACCAGCTGCAAAGCCGGTTATCATCGACGGCCATGAAGAATGGGAAGTGGAAAAGATCTTATCCTCTCGCCGGCACTACCGCAAGCTTCAGTACCTCATACGTTGGAAGAATACCACTCCCGACGAGGATACATGGGAACCAGTAGCGAACCTCAAAGGCTCGAAGGAACTCATCAAGGAATATCACGATGCGCACCTGCATGCAATCAGGTCGCTCAATGATAATGATGACAAGGTGTTTGCTCTCCTGAAAAGGGACGCAACACTTCGAGTTGAGCTACGAGGAGGCCAGGAACCCAAGAGAAAGACCGATACAGCAGCAGGCTTTGAACTGTATGCGAGTCAAAACCAGGAAGTCGCCAGTAACGCAACACTGCAGATTCCAACAGGAATCCAGATACAACTACCAGTTGGCACCTACGGGAGAATTACCCCAGTAGGGAATCCATTAGCCAAAGGAATCCGAGCAATTGAAGGCATTATCGAGCGGGGTGACCCAGCCGAAGTCAAGGTTGTTGTTACCAACACCGGACCATCCGAGCTGAAGATCGCCAAAGGCGACCCCATTGCTCAGCTCATTATTGAGCGTATAGCTGATTGTAATCTCGAGATTACCAAAGCGTAAAGGCACTTCACTGGTCAAATGGTCAAAACTTCTCAAACGGAGCTCGAAGCTAGAGGCGGGGGTACTGTCACAGTTTCCCTAATTTTACCTAATTTTTCCGCTATTTCTGCGGACATATCAAAGGGTATAGGGACTTATCCATACTTATCCGTCCGCATATGGGTACAGCTGCATATCTAAGGGGTTATCCGCTTAAATAAGCGACACATGATCTTGTTCTGGACACATCAGGCTGGACTCTGATGCCGGACCTTTTCTAGATAGAAACCAGACTCTGTCTGGACCATGACATCATTCTGACATCATAGGTAGGAGCTAGGCTCAGGCACTAGGCCATAGGCCAGTCAATTCTGGACCCTAGGCCCAGGGCAGGGCAGGGCCAGACTATGACATCATATATGACATCATAAAGCACATGATACTTAGTAATCCTTACCCAGCTAGATACCAGGGGTCCATTACCAGTCCCTGGGGGGTTTTCCCTCATGTATATAAGGCAGCATCCTGGGGCACCCTGTCCCCCAGTTCTA